GTTGGAGTGGTGAGGTGGTGGGTGTTCAGGCTCGGATCAAAACTCGCCTGGCCTAATGGATTCAGCGCCCGCAGCTTCTGTGGTCCCGAGAATTAGGGCCCCTCTGCTCCTTCCTCACCAGCGTCTGGGGTCAGACCTGAGCGTCACTCATCACCGGGTATCCCTCTGCCTCCTCTGCGTCCAAAAGAATTGGGTTGAAATCAGCAGACTTGTCTTTATCCGACACTTCACCCGCTTCTCCGAGGCTCTGCGTCTGCACAGCCCAGAGCCCGCTGTGCCCGGAGGACAGCACGTACCTCACGCGCCCAGTGAGGCCTGGGGCTCGCCCAGGCTCCCCTGTGTCAGCCGTTGTTCTGATGGGGAAATGGTTATTGTCCCTCAGCATGGCGTGTGCCCCTTCTGCTTATTGTCACCATTTGATTTACAACCTTCAGGGAGCACTGACTGTTCTACTGGGCATGTGTGGGGCCCACCCTGCTGGGGGTGGGGAAGGGGTGGGCTGCTTGCTCTGGCAAGGGTGATGGGGAGGTGTGGGCTGTCCCTGAGGTCCTGGCCTACTCTGGGGTCCCTGCAGTCTCTTGCCCGATGGCAGTATGGCATCTGGCCTCGCTGAACCGGCCCCTGCGTAGTCCTGTCTATGGATGCACAGTAGCCATTCCGGGCACCTTGTGGGACCGGGAGCGGCCGAGGGTGCCTGAGCCAGGCAGCCCTGCCCCTGCCGCGCTGGACTCCAGCCGACGGAGCTCTGCCCACCATCGCGCACATGCACAGAACGGGTGTCTCTGTTTTCTGCAGGGAAATAACATGCTTTATCGGAAGCTTCTCCTTCCCTTCCTGCCGCCTCCTTCCCAGCGGCGTGGCCGGCAGGAGCTCTGAGGAGGGGTGGACGGTGACCCCCTCATTTCCCTCCCCTAGGCCTTGGAGGACCGAGGGATTGTGGAGCTGCTCTTGACTTCAGACAACAAGGACGGTCTGAGCAACGGGGTCATCGACGGAGGTGCGTGGAGGCGGGGGGCGCCCGGCCTGGCTGTGCACGCTGCCCGGGCAGCCGCTGCGCCCACGTCGGTCCTTCTCCCACTGCGTGGCACTGGGCCCGGAAGCGCTGGGGCATCCGTGTCCGAAGCGGACTTGCTGTCGCCAGCTCTGTCGTTCGATGATGTTTCTCTCTCATTGATGTTTCTAGCTCTCTGTCCCTCTCCCTTCCTCTCTGTCTCTAAACGTCAATTAAAAATGTTAAGAAACACCACCTTCAATTTAAAAACTATAACACATGATTGGGTAGAATAGAAAATCAGCCCTCGTCTGAGAAATGCACGGGGAGTCTGTATTTCGGCCGTCAGCCTGTCCTGGTGCTTGAGGTGCAGAGTCAAGATCCGACTCCAGGCTCCTTCAAGAGGGCGATAAGCAGAAATGCACTCCGGCTGGGAAAGCGACATTGATCAGAAGCGTGGTGAGGTCTGTGCTGAGGGCTGACGGTCCAGGTGAACAAGACCATCTGGCATCAGAGGAACCAGCTCTGATCCGGGCTGGGAAACGATGTCCAGATCAGTTCGCTTGTTCAGCTGGTGGATTGAGAAAGGTCCGGGGCAGTTCGGCAAGTCCTCCTGGCTTCGCGACAACACTTCACCTTCTCTTCTCTCCTTTCCACCCCAGTGCTGGCCACCATCAACCTACAGTCGCAACACGACCTGCAGTTACTGACCATCTTCCTCCTAAGTGTCCAGGTGAGCCCGGCCCGGGGAGCTGGCCGCCGCTCTGCGTGCATGTGGGGCTCTGAAGCGAGTTCGGTGCGGCCTCTTGGTCAGGAATTCTATCCGCTGCTCTTCGCCCTGCAGCTGGCGTCAGGGTGCCTCTTGGGGAGGGGGACCCTGGCACTGCCAGCTTTTCAGTTCACAGCCCGCCTTCCACGCTGCAAACCCTGACCCTGTGCACTGGGCTGCCACGCCCCGGCCAGGGGAGCCCTGTGCCCTGAGGCGTTGCAGTTGGGCCTGGAGTCATGTCCTAAGCCGGGGGTCCTCAAACTACGGCCCGCGGGCCACGTGCAAATACAAATATTGTATTTGTTCCCGTTTTGTTTTTTTACTTCAAAATAAGATATGTGCAGTGTGCATAGGAATTTGTTCATAGTTTTTTTTTAAACTATAGTCCCTCCAACGGTCTGAATGAGGGACAGTGAAGTGGC